TGTTTTGTTCTTCAGGCTAGTTGTGGAGGACGTTGCTTCACTGGCCCAAGATGGTACCATCATTGCGCTCTTCCCGGGTGAGGCACATCAGTCGCCGGCTTCTGGACGGCCGCTCACTGCGGCTGCTGGCTACACACGGTAGCCCATGGCAACCCACTGCCACAGGGGCTGCAGCCTATGCCGTTGCCAGCGACTCACTGCAGCCCAGCTAGGTCGAGCTGTTGTTCAGCATCTTAGCTGTGGAGGGCAGTGTCACTGGCCCTCATATGTGGGATCCGAACCGGGGCCTCTGGCGTCCCTAGCCAGTTCTTAACCGTCGTGCCACTCGGCCGGCCCTGGATTCTTTATTTACAACTATCTTCTTTCTTTCCAGTGACAGAAAATACATTACAAAAACAGAATGAAGTACTATGCCACACGTCACTTCCTAACAAAATTCTGTAGGTCCCATTGATTGTCCCCTGAGTGGGAGGGTTCATGCCATCATTAGAAGAAATTTCGTATCAACAGAAATTTCATATTAAACCATAAGCATGTCAGTGCTCTGGGGTAGTTTGTGGGACCATCCCTGAAGTTCCTCCTTGTTTGGTTTCTGGTGGGGCCCAGGAATTGGTGTTGATTTAGTTCTGTAGGGGATTTGGACACAAGGCCATATTTGGGAACTTGAGGTACCACTGTACACTCAGGGCCCACACCCCCATCTCATAGGGAAGAGGACATGGAGCGAAAGAGAACAGCCAAGTGTGCCCCTGCGACGCCTGCATTACTTTCTCTTTCCCAGAAACTCCTGACGAAGCTCCTTTGGTGTTGGGTGAGAGAGGAAGGAATTCAGGCTCTGGGCCTCTGGGCTGCCCAGCCCCGTTTCCTAGGGGAAGCCGTCAGATTCCCGAGAGATTGCATTTCTTACGCCAGCTGCTGTAGTGCTCAGGGCACAGGGAAGGGGCGTGAAGCCTTCAGTTTCTTCAAAATTCCTCCCGTTTGTAAATGAATTTGGGATTGATGAGATGGCCGGCAGAGCTAGAGTGACCAATCCCAGTTTGCCTGACAGTGAGGGGTTTCTTGGGATGAGGGACTTCCAGTGCGAAAGCCAAGAAATTCCGGGACACTGGGATGCTGGGTCCCCTGTATAGCATAGCTTATTTCAACAACTCGCTGCCCCTCAGGGCTGAGTGCAGTGACATCTGTATCTCAACCTGTCCCCACTCAGGGTTTCTGGGACACGTGGCTCCATTATATCAGCTTGTCAAAACCCTGAGTGGTTTCCTCCAGGACAGGACGTTTGGTCGTGCCACACACAGCACCACTGGAATCACAATCTAGAAACCCAGCATCCCAAACTCTGTCCCTACAGAGAAAACTCCATGGAGTTCTTGAGCATCCCTTCTCCCCAGAAATGGCTCCATTTCCTACCTCAATTTGCTTGCCCCAATCTCCCTGCTTCCTTCAAACACGCACCCTCAATGAGTTGGCTTCTGAACCTGTGCTCCCAGGTCCCAGCGTGGGAGGGCGCCATGCTGGTCATCACATTTGTGTTTGGGCTTCAGAATAGGAAGACTGTCTAAGCTGCTGGGCCAGCTCAGCTTGGGGCCGCGGGGCCAAGGATTAGTGTCCCGGGCCTCTGATCATTCAATGAGTCCTGGCAGAGCTGCCCAGACCTATTGTTGGAACTCACAGACCTGTTAAACCTTCTTCTTTAGGAGGCAAGGTGTGAAGAGGTGCAGTTTACTGAGCAGAAATCTAACAAAGGTTTAGGCTATGGATGGGATGTAGATCAGAGCCCTAGAGGGAGACGAATGGTTAATTACAGCCTATATGTACACTGGGAGCCTTATTTCCATAGGCGACCTAGAAACACCCAGTGGAAATTGAGGGGAATTGATGAAGCTCCTAAGAGGAGAGAGGTGGGATTGGCATGAGAAAACCCTGGGCTTAGAGTTCTGGGAAGGTGAGGAAGTTTTCAGGACAGGATATGCAGCCTCCCAGGCTGGGCGAGGAGCCCTCCCCAAAATGCTCGGCTCACGTGTCTTCCTGAGCTGTGTTGGTTCCCAGCAGCAGGCAGAAAAGCAGGAGCAAGGCGGCATGGCTGGCCCTGAACAGGAGCTGGAGAGAGTACATGCTGCAAGAGATGGAATCTGATGTCCCAGAGAAATGGGCTTTCAGAGCCCAGCACACGCTTTATATGCAGATCAAGGGCATGCAAGAGCTGCCAAGCAGATCCATGTGATTAATCGCCCAGGTTCCCCGTCCCGCTCGACATCTTTCCTTGTTGAGCTAGTTTGTTTTGCCACAGAAAATGTCAACATTCACTAGAGCGTTAGAGTCTGAGAGAGAAGTTGGATTATCCTTCCTCATTTTCTCAGTACCAGGGTTTCCCCATGTTCGGGATATACGGCTCTTCCCTAGCTTACACAAATGGCTTCTTACCCCCCATCTTTCTATGCCTGTCTGTCCGGGTGTATGTAGCATTAGCGTCATTCCCTGCTCCCCTAGTTTCGGAGGGGCGGAGAGCCCAGCTATGGTAGCAGATTTCAGACCACAGCCCTAGGACACATTGGCTTGATCCCCTTATTGGAAGTTCAAGAGGAAACATTGTTCAAAACATGTGGTAGGAAGCTGGGGTGATGAGGGCTTCCCTAGGGGACAACACCACCACGCAGGGTCTGGGGAGGACCAGAGATGGGCTTCTCCGGATGATGGAGGCCACAGCACTGAGTGACGTGACGATGTTTGTGACTGTCAAGTCTTTCTTACCTTCATGGGTCATAGTAATGTCCTGCAGAGGCCTGAGATCCCCAGCTACCCCACAGTCCCCAGTGCAGGGCAGTCTTGTACCTCCAGCACATTCCTGTAAAGAGCTGGCATCTCCAAGTCAGACTCCTTGACATTAAACAGTCTGCTTACTTAACTACTGACATGACCACTGTCTTACACATGTCATAGAGCACAGAGCGTTAGGGGGACCCACACGGGAAGGACTCCTTCCGTGAGCACAGAACCCACACTGTGTCCGGAAGAGTGCTCTGGTTCTGGGGTTTCTCTCCCTGGGATGGAAGGCAGACTCAGTCTTTCTGACACTGGCACTGGAATATTTCTCTGTACTCAATTAAATCAATTCCTTAGCGTATGACGTATGATATTGTGGAATTTGTTCCTATGCTTTGCATGAAAAGTCACATTCATGCTGGAGTGACCGACGTACGTTGCCATAGGTATGATTCAGCTTTGAAGGCTCAGATGTGTGTGCTTCTGGTTTCTGAAAGCATCTTTCTAAATTGCTCTGTCTGCTTATTCTACTCTTGCACGTCCCTTCTCATCTCTTCAAACTTGACATCATTCATGTCATTCCTCACTTGGTAAATTCAGCTATTGTGATCACATGATTTCTTCTTTGTTTCTGTCCCATGTACTCGAGAACAATGCTTTCATGTCACCTCACCCTGGGCGCGTTGGTCCTCTTTCACAAACATTCTCCCACGGGGCAGTTTTCTTTACACCTGCTCCTTTTCTTACTTACTTGAATAATTTCCATCAGAGGGACACGCGAGCTGAGATTAATGAAGAAGTGAGGCAAAAGAACGTAGGAAGTGTCCTGTGGGGAAAGCCAGGAAGAACCCTTTGCTGGGGTTTAACTACCTTGGCAGGCAAAGCCCCATCCTTGAGGACATGCTTCCAGCACACTCGCAGCAAAGCTCCAAAAGGGGGGAATGCCAATGGGGTGTGAGAATATGTCAAAGGCACAGAGGCTGTTCTGCCAAAGGCCAGCAGGATCTGCAATCTGCGGAAGCTTCAGTGTGCATGACAGATCTTAGGCCTGCTGTGCAGGGCATGGCTAGTGCGGTGGCTAATTTTATGTGTCAGCTTGGCTAGACCACGGTACCTCGTTTTCAGCAAAACACCCATCTAGATGTCCCTATAAAGGCATTTTTCAATCAATAAACGTTGAGTAAGGCTGATTAACCTCCATAATGTTGGTAGGCCTCATCCGGTCAGTTGAAAGCCTTAAGAGAAAGGACTGAAGTTCCCCAAGAAAGAGGAAATTCTGCCATCAGAGTGCCTCCAGACTCGACCTCAACTTCTCCCTGGCTGTGTGGTGTGCTGGCCTGCCCTGCAGATTATGAACTTGCCAGCCTCCATCTCCCCTCCCCTCTCCTCCCTTTCCCCTTTCTCTGTATACACACACACACACACACACACACACACACACACACACACACACAGACACACACACATACACAGACACACTCACACACACACACACACAGACACAAACACATACAGACACACACACATACACAGACACACACACACGTATCTTTATTCTCTATAATAAGAAGCAAAAAAGTAGATAAACCTATGTTTAGTAATTAATGTTTCATTATTTTATCTTATTTGGAAATGATCTAGACATTCAATGAATATCTGTCATTTAATTTAGCTAGCAAAAATTTAGTTTCAAGTTACCAAAGAGATTTAGGAAACCATTTTTAAGTACACATACAATATAATTATTGCTAAAGAGTTCACCTAAGAGGAAACCTTTTATCCTACTTACATTTATTTAATATACTTGCTCTAAACAATTAAGTTTAGGTTACCTATGAAAATTTCATCATACCAATTCTTTTTCTTGCTGACAAATTTTGCAACAGAGATAACATGAACTTATTTGACTAATAAATCCAGATAGAATAAAAATATTATTTAATGCTGATGATAGGTATGCCTATTTAACAAAATCAAAATCAAGCCAGCTTTAATATCAAATATTTTCCCAGATCACATGATTCTGAGAAGCATTTAGGTTAGTTCCTGTTATATTTTTGAGAATTCTCTTAAACGTACTTGTGTGTTTACGTCAATTTAATAGATCTTTTAAAAAATAAATTAACAATATCATCCGGAAATGTCACTCAACACACATGAACACACAAACAGAAACCTCCCTAGCCTTTATTTAAAAATTACTGCCATAGGATGGGTAAAATAATGTAAAAGAACAGTTGGGTTCCAACTGTGTTTCTGGCGGATGGAATAAATGAAGCTTACCTGTATAGATGGCTAAAGCTTTTTTTAAATTTATATTTGTGGAGAAAACAAGATTTGTTTTCATCCTTGGCGAGGGGGCCTTGGAGGCAGAGAAGTAGTTTGTACTTTCAAAAACACCCTCGTCTCCTATTTTTTTCCTTCAGTCTTAGGAATTGGGGATGATAAAGATAGCAGGGCTTTGAACTGCTTCTAGAGCTGCGTTTCTGGTTTTGTAAATATTTGTAAGATAAGAACAATTGCTCTCAAAATGTGGCCTGTCGCTTAAGTCATCGCTTGACCTCCCTGCCTTACTTAGTACATAATCCTTAATGTACTTCTTTCCTTCTGGTTATATCCTTTGATTTTAGCTTAGGGGAGTAGGTCTGAAGAAAAAAAAAATCATCATCAGGCTCTTGCATTCTCATTTTCCAGCTTTTCCAAATTTCTGATTAAAAAGTTATTCAGTCCTTTCAAATATCTTGTCAGGTTTCAGCTGTGACAAACAGTAAATATTTCTTGTGGTATTAAACAATCCCATGGACTAAGAGGATGCAAAGGCTATTGCCTTCTCGTCTTTCCCTCCAATAGCCCCAAGAAAAAATGGACAGGGTTCAAGTCCTAGTTCCCTAGTGAGACACAAGGCTTATTTAAATAAAATAATCAGGTCAAAGAGATACAATCAATTAAAGTTGACCTAACTTTTTTTTTAACATAAAGCTTGTGTAAACATTGCAGTTTTCATACTCTTATCAATCCTTACTTTTTTTTTTTTTTAAATTGGGGAATTGGGGGATGGGAACAGTGCTGAGGAATTAGGGGAAGGGGAACAGACAAGTTGCTGACCTTTTGTTCTTCAGCCTAGTTGTGGAGGACGTTGCTTCACTGGCCCAAGTTTGCACCATCATTGCGCTCTTCCCGGGTGAGGCAGATTAATCGCCGGCTTCTGGACGGCCGCTCACAGCGGCTGCTGGCCGCTCACGCTGGCTGCTGGCTACACACGGTAGCCCATGGCAACCCACTGCAGCAGGGGCTGCAGCCTACGCCATCG